GGACTTTATGATAAGAGCTAACATGTGAGCTGAGAACCCTAAACTCATTTCGTTAGACAAATCCAGCTCTATTCTACATATGGATGCAGAGAAGAAAGACAAATGGTTTATCCTCTAAGCCACCCAGCATCCTGTTCTTGATATTTCAGTAACATATGCTAACATATGCTTTCCTCTAGAACTTCAAAAACATGCTTTTAGCAGCAATGAAAATAGTACCATACATCCAATTCAACTTTAAACCTCATAGTTTACCTCTAATACCATTACCTCATGTACAGAAGAAAATGTAAGTCTAAAATATGCTGGTGATTATAACCTTTCTTCCTGACAGACATTGTAATATAAATGCACATAAATTGAATTTCTTCTTTAAAGAAATTTGAATACCTTTAGAGCATTTTAGCAAATCATCTCCAGCCTTTATGGCACAACTTCAATGGACTGTGGAAAAGTGATCTCCCTATGGCATGACTTCTGCAATAGAAGGATATAGCAAGGCAAAGACATGCCAAGAAAAATAGAATGTACTTTATTGATATTCAAAATTTATTTTATTAAACTTGCATAAAAGACTGAAAAACTGGAAGCTGGTTTTATTAGAAAAGGCATTCAAATATTAACTCTGCAAATGCTGGTTGTGTTGCTCAGCTGGAAAAAAAATAATTGAAGATTTACAGTTTTAACATTTTGACTTTGCTCTCCAGGATAATTGTTTGATTTCTTGTGTTAACCATTAAATCAGAAACTGTTAGAATGGGTAAGTAGTTAGTAGGAGGTCCTGATGCATCAGATAAGAATTCTTCAGAAGGGTTCTCCATAGAGGGGGAAATGGAAGATATTTGAGCAGTCTTGTGCTAATTAGCAAATATGCTAATTGGTGGATAATGGCCATATTTGAGGACTCCATTTCTAAGGGAATTCATGGCAGCATTCCCAAGTACTATCGGCTGTCAGTGTTTATCTTAAAATAGGTTTGGGAAATAGAGAGCCAAAAAAAGGGAATTTTTCATATTGGCAAATACTAATATTTCTATAATATGTTGAAGGATAAACTAGTTGAAGTTTTGTGAGTGTTTTGTTAAATAGAGGACAGCCAAATTTGTGCTAAATTAGTTGGCTCAGTTTTATGTGACTCAAAATAAGACAGGTGTTTACTTTAGCAAGGTGAGCTGCTTCAGTGCGTTAAAGATTTCTACCTCATTCTGCATAATGCAATGTGTAATTTATAGTAATCTTGGGGACCAAAAGAACTGCTCATTGATGTAGATTTGCCACATGATCTATTTTAAGATGATCTACTGCCAGGTAAATGCATGGGTTTCAAAAGTTACCTCAGTGGTGAAATATTGCGCTTGGCTTTCGGCTTCACATATGCTACAAACTTTCCAACTTTAGGACTTTAGAAACTGGTAAATGCTGTAACTCGTCAATAAATTTGATATATATGTGTGTATCAACATAGCCCCACTCCAGCCATTACAGTTAATGGTCTGTATATATTTCCATTTCTACTACCACCTATGTTCAGGGCTTTATAACTCATGCATAAGCATTTCCTCATGACTGCAACTTGGTATGCAGCATAAGCCAATGAACCTTTTCTTTAAAATAAAATCTGTTTTGACGTGAAGTTTACAGCTTTTGGGGCATTTTTTTATAATCCTAAGAAATCGATAAATAATTTATAGAAATAAAGACTTCATTTTTTAAAACGAAGTTTTGTCAAGATGGTAATTCATATAGACTCAGGACTTATATTGAGCTGACTGGAGGTGTTACACTTCTCTGGTGCCTTCTTTAGGTGCTGCAGGATTTAAGTGTTCAGTTTTTTAAAAGTTACAGTTCTATCCTTTCTGGTTAGATGATATTAGGTGAATTTTTCAATGCACGAGTGACTTCGTTCTATTTTCAAAAGTGACTTAGGGCACTTAAGAGCCTCAGTCTCAGTGAAAGTCAGTGGGATTCAATGGGAGTTAGGCACCTAAATACCTTCGAGGATTTGGGCCTATGTTTCCAGGGGCCAGATTTTTAAAAGTATTTAGGTGCCTGAAGATGCATATTGACCCCTAGTATGATTTTCAAAAGCATTTAGGCGAGCGCAAAGCGCAGCTATGCAAGTTGTGTCCTTGCAGAATGATTTGCCCCGTGGTGCCAATTTCAGACAGACAATCTGTTTACCACTGTGGTGGAAAAACAAACATCCACACTTCCTGATACTTCATTGGTCAGGACCTAATGTTAATTGTATTCTGATGAGGCAGAATAGCCATCCAGGCAATAGAGGGCGCACAAGCTACCTACAACTGTGCTCATGCATACACTGATGCCAATATACTGAGGAAGTATGTGCAGCGCTCATTTGACCCAAAGGGAAATATTAACATTTTTGAAATGTACAAAGGCTATTTTCTTTCTTCCTAGAATGTATTAGAAAAATCTAGAGTAAAAAGCAAAATATTAAAAACAATTAAATACAGTGTTGCCAGATAATACGATTTTTGATGTTTTCTTAAGCCATAGCTCCTGGAATGCTGGGATGATGTGAGAGGGTTAATTAAAAGAAAGTAGGTTCCTAATCCTCACAATCTTGGAGAAGAGTTTGAAAATGTAAACCCTAAAGACTCCAAAACCAGAAGGCAAATACTTCCCCCCTCAAATTTATTGTTTATAACATTTCATTTTTTTTCAGGCAATCTCATGATTTTGGAGGCCTGACTCATAATTTTTGAATGCTTGGGATTGGCAATACTGTCAATAGTAAACTCTGGGGACTCATTTTAAGAACAATTGCCTGCCAAATCACACATTTTAAGGTCATCTATTACTGGAAGAAATGGGTGGATTAACCTCCAGAACTAATTAAAATTGTTGTGTTTTAGTTGCTGTTTGTTTCTTTTCTTTAAATGTGAAATATATAGTATCAAAATAAAAAACTTCCTGAGCACAGAACCCCCATAAAGATGTTCAGCTGGAGATAATTTTTAATCACCGTTCTAAGCTATGAAACTGGGGTATACAATAGAAATGCTGACAAAATTTTAACTGTGCTGTAGTACAATAGTTATGTAAATACAGTACATAATGTACTTAATATGTTAATCTCTGAATCTCAAGAAGCAGAATCTTACTGGAGCAGAACTTTGCTAGGGCATATCAGCCTAGTGTTTACAAAAAATGGGGGCAAGAATGCAGAGCCTACTAGTGTAAGCTGGTTCTTCTGGTTAACGGCACTGGCATTTTGGGAAGAGGCGAACAGCACTTCTTAATTTTCACTTCAACCACTGGCTGGTTTTTTACATATGTACTGCCAGTTGTGCTTGATTTTTGCCATGTATTCCAATGATTTATTTTTGTTTGACAATAATGTAAAATACAAACCATCTGATGCTAGGGTTTAGCTCCATTACGCTAGGAACCACAAACCTATGCCATGTTGCTTTTCCATTTTATAGCGCTTGTTTCAATCTTACTGGCGTAATTGCTCAGGCTTTTTTCCTCTTTTGGATTAAATGATGGTTTTGGCCCCAATTTTGTGCCAGGAAGCTGAACTTTCTGACTCACATCTCTAACTTGTACAGGGCTATTAATATAATATTAAAGTGTCTGATCTGCAAACACAGTGATGTGCTCAAAACATGCTTGACACAATATGCCCAATTGGCCTGTGCTGTTACATACATGCATATACCCAATGACAGTCATTTGCAGGCTCAGTTACCCAATCTGCACACAAAGCATGGTATCTGCACACAAAAATCAGGGATTAAATCGCATGTAAATTTGACACAAGTAATTGCATAAATAACATGTTTAAAATATAGTAAAAACTATATTATATGTAGTGGATGGTGGAAAGAATTCAACATTATGTTTTAAACAGAAGCCAGGCTGCAATCTTAACTATGAAGGCTGAGATCCTCAAAGGTATTTGAGCATCTAACACCCATTGAGGAACTGGGCCTAGGTGACCACTCCATAATGTAATAGTCCCTTCTGCAGATCGCTAGCAAGGAGAGAACCCTGTAGGCATCTATCATTTGAGTTAGAGAAGTTTAAAAAAAAAGTTAGTTTCCTGATAAATTCCTTTTACAAGCCAGTCACACATTTTATCCCACACTATCCTTAATATATAACATCTATCTTAAGTCATGCATAAGAGCCACTTCAGACTCTATTGTATGTAGCACTAATAAGTCACAATGGATCGTAAAGAGTTTCTTATACAAGAGAAGTGGACTTAGAGCTCCAAAACATATGGTACATAATAGAAGAAATTCATAGGTCTTTTGGAAAGAATTTACCACTAGGTTTAAGTTGTTGTTAAATAAGCACAACCATGTTAATACAGCTCCCTTCAAAACAGAGAAAAAGTCAGTAGGGTCTATTTTTCCATTCAGCTGGTTAGAGATTTACACAGGTATTTCCCATTAATGTTAAATTCTCTCTCTGCAGCAAAGAGAGAGAGCGAGAGAGAGAGAAACAAAACAACAACAGCAAAACCTTTCAGTTTTCACCAAATGGAAGAAGGAGCAAATCAGAAGGGTACAAACATGTTTCAAGTTTCTAAGATGCAGTTAGCATTCGTGGGCTGTTTTAATATGATGGTTAATTACAACTCACCTCATATTTGTCTCTTTGGAAACTAATAAGATGGATAAAAGATTGGGGGGAAATGAAGCAAACCTGGTTATTTTAAACATGTGAGATTTCTGAAGGGAATACTTAACAACTGAAGCTTTTCAGCAGAGGGCTACTTTTAACCAGCTGTTATGGACCGGTGTGTCTGGGAAGAGGAGAAGGAGACCTGTTGCTCTCTCACTCTGGAGAATCATATGAGCTGCTTCAATTATACTGTGATGCATTTTGGCTAATTCGCGAAGAAAGAGTGAAATCAAAAGGGAATGTTTCCTTAACTACAAGGTATTAATATCCTGTTTAATTTCTGCTTTCTGTTATTGTGAACCCTTTTCCTTTAACATACAGTGTCAGCTCGGCAAGGATTTTCTGACAGTATCAAAGGAGGATTTAACTCTGAAATGCTGCCATGAAAATCTCTCTCTCTCGCTCTCTCTATAGTGTAGTCTTTCAAAAAGAAGCATTATGTGTCAGTAGAAGACAGTTACTGAGTGAATAAGAATGAACCCCTGGGGCTGGCCAGGTACTGCTGCTGATAGGGGCATAAAGAGTCACACTTTGCCCTTGGTTACACAGTTGTAAGCCTGGAGTTACTCTATTAAGTCAATGGAGTTATTCTTGATTTCCTCTGACTGACCGTCTGGAAGAACGTGAGTGGGAAATTATCCCTATCTACTGGCAGAAAACAGATGGAATGAAAACAAACTGCATGAAACTGAATAATTTCCAGGTAAGAAGATAAATCAAAGGTCATTAGTACGGGCTGGATCCTGCAGACTCTTACTCATGCGAACAACCCTTAGTCCTATGAGTAGACTCAGTGATTTCCACAAGACTACTTATGTGTGAGAAACGAATACTTATGTGAGCAAAGACAGAAAAATCCTGGCCCCAGGTTCATTTAGTGATAGTCTGTGGCTGCATAATCCTCTTGCACAAAGGTAAATTGAGATGATAACCCATCGGGGGAAAGGAGACACTGATTTCATAAAAGGGAAATGCTTCTTTAAACCATACATATATACTACTTTACATCAGACAATGGAGAAGTCCAGGATTAGAGAGTCAGATTTCTTTTGTAGGAATCACCAAATACTTTATTAATTTGAAGAGGCTGATATTTTTTTACTGTTCATTTCATTTTGATTTTCCTGATTTAGTTAAACAAGGTAGTTACAGGTTTGTTTGTCAATGCCGTAGGCATTTTGCACACATTTAAACTATCCTATCCTAAAATGAATAGGAGACTCTATGGTTCATATGGCCCATCCATTTCCCCTGTATTTAGATGGAGCAGAGAGTGGGGTTTGGCCACTGTCAATAGGAATGTGAAATAAGAAAAGACTTTCTTGGCTTTAGATTATTCAGAAAACCATTGAAAAGATTCCTTAGATTGATTTAATTAGAGATTAGTTTAAAACACAAAGTTCAGATCCAGAGCTTGATTTTCCCAAAGTCTGGTATGTTCAGAGTTTTTGTTTGTCTCTAGTTTTTCCTGTATACAGACAGCAGGATATTAGTGCCTGCAAAATTTCCTACTTGCTCCACAAATGAATCCAGCTCCATAAACAATTGGTTAAATAATATATCAATTTCAGTGCACATGGACTAATTAATAATTCCTGCTGACTCACAAGCAATTCATGAATCATTTTCTGAATGCTGAAAAGTGGTTCATGAATCCGGAAAAAATAAGGGAAATTAACAAAATAAGTAATTTGTAATTATCATCTTGCTCATGAATCCAGCCATGGGATTCCAAGTTCTCTATGATTAGTCTATCCAACTGAATCCTGAAGAACCAATTAAATCATCAGTCTAGAATTCCATTTCCCCTGACATCATTAGAATATTTCTATGGGATTGGCACTATTTCAAGTACCATATACAGCCTCGACTGTTTAATTATGTGATTTCAATTCCAGGGTGAAATCTGCGTTGGATAGCAATCCAGACCATGACTGTGTCTTTTGTATATAACCAAGTTACACTACTCAAGTGCTTAGTATTGAAATAAGAATGTGACTTGCATTCCTTCCACTCAATGTTTCTGTCTTTTTTTCTTTTTAATTAGAGGGTCTCTGACATTGCCCTGGCCAAGCCACTTTTAATATCTGCTGCCAACCCTATTTCTCTGACTAAACAGTTTACAAGACAGTGCAAAATATCCCGAAGATGCAGCTCACTGAGTTGTTGTCTAGTTGGTACATATGAAGAGTGTTCTACAAGTCGTGTGGCAGCTCAGACATCTGTTTTGAGGTTTTTTGGTGTGGCCACATGTCACTCAAGCCTCTTGGCCCAATGTCCCTTGTATGGCTGGCTGATGGATTTTCTCCTGGCAGAATATGCTGCGTGTGGAAAATAGACTTTGACTGGTGGAGTTGCCAACATATTTCCTTTGGCTGACATCAAAATATAACAAATTCTGGCCGGGTTAAGGCAATCTTTTTAAAAAAAAAAAAACACATTTATTTAATATAATTAAATCAATGAACAAGCCTCATGTATTTGTTACTCACTGGGCACGAGTCCCCCACTGTGCCTGATGCACAGAAGACATGGGTCTGTTACACCACTTCTTTTGAGAGCCTGGCTCATGCTTTTAGCACCCAAGATCCCCAGTTCAAATCCTGGAACTGGCCAAAGTGTTACAACTGTTGACCAAACAAAACAAAAATCCCAATAATTTCCAGCATCCCTTAGGGTCCCCCACCCCAAATTCCAGTTGGCTTTAGTGGGCATTTATGATGCTTTTCCTATGACAGGCTCAGCCTCTGGTTGTACAGTGGAAATATTTGTCTTAATTTCTAACCCATCCAGACTCTCCCAGTTACTAAAATCCCATATTTTAACCCTCAGAATAAATATGCCTCCTATGTGTCCCTCACTTGCTGTGTGACTCTGGGCCAGTCACTTAATCACTCCGTTTATCCACCTGTAAAATGGGGGCAGAGCACGTTGCCTTCATTGTGAAGAAGAGCCACAGATAAAAGCTTGGAGAGCCACAGATGAAAAATGCTATTTTTAACCACTTATCCTTGTGATTGACTATTTTAACATTCTAAATTGTAAGGGACCTCTCTTACTAATTACTTTGAAAAGTATAAAACCCGCTCCAGGTTTTCCAGCTGTTATAGCTTTTTATGATGTTAATAGTGAGAAAGGGTACAAATTAAATATACATATTACTTATTTTTGCCTTTTGGCTATAGAGGGGATTTTACGTTTCTTATGGTCAGATATACAAGCAACAGTGATATATATCCAAAGGGGATCTTTTATCCCATCCCATCCTTGGATGAAATATATTTTCTTCCTCATTTTTCTCCTATTATTTGTAACACTCACTGCAATCACATTTAAAATTAGATTGTCCCTGTGCTGGAGCACTTACAATGTCATGAGTGGAGTGTGTTATGAGGTCCAGTGAACAGTTCACTGGATGGGAAGGCAAGAGACCTGAGGCTTAAGGTTGGTGGTAGAGGTGGGACTAGAACCCAGGGATTTGATTTTCTGTTGCCCTGTGTAGGCAATTACATCAGAACAAAGTATAATGCTACTAAGTCAGTATGGAAGCATTTTACATTCATTTTGCACTGGTATAAACAACTACACAGGATGAAGGGCAACAGAGACTCAACTCTCTGGGGTCTATTCCCAGCTCTGACACTGAGCTTCAGTATGACCTTGGCCAAGTCACTTCACCCCCCTCTGTGTATCGGATGGACCATCTTTTGGAAAGAGCTATACATGAAAAGCACTATAGAAAAGTGAATTATGTATTTTTTTTATTTGCACCTCATATTTTGGGTGCTATATAAATACAAATATATTGATAATGCTTTGTTAGTTGTTATACTTTGTCCTCAGGCATTGTCAACTGTTAGCTTTAAGAACATTAAAAATGGAGAAAGAATAGTTTTGTAAAGCAAAGGGTGTTGGGCTAGATCCACAAAGGGGACTTAGACTCAGCATTGCAATGGCCAACATTTGGGTGCCCTCAAGCCTCGTGGAATCTACAGCCCTGAGCTAGGCACCCAAGACCATGATTCAATGCGTGGAGAGAGTTAGGCACCTCTGAATGGGATCCACAAAAGTCAGCAATCTGAGTAGGGAGCCACCTAGGACAGATAACAGGAAACACGTAGGCTGGGGGGTGGGCTGTGCACAAAGAGAGTTAGGTGTTTAAGACCTATATTCAAATCCATGCTATACATCAGGTGTGGGGGTGCGGGGGAAGGATTTGAACCTGGGTCTCCTACATGAATGTTCTAACCACTGGGCTAAAAATTGTAAGGGGACTACCCTCTCCTCGCGCTGTCTTGTGCATTGGGCACACCTGATGGCTTAGGCCTCACAGATCAGCTAGGTGTTGACCTGCCTAGTTTGAAAATGCTGCTGGGACTTAGGCATGTGCTAGGTGCCTAGGGGTTATGCACATGTCACTGGCAGAAATTAAGGAATCTATAGGGCTTTACCAGTGGAAGCGTAGGTGCATAGGGATTAAGTGGCAGCTGAGTTTCTGAGGATCTACATTTTGGACGTAGGCACCTAAATCTCTTTGTGGCTCTAGCCCTTTGGCCCAATGCAGAGCCTAAAGAAAGGCTCTGTTATACAGAAGTAATAGGGGAGAAACAAACTTCAACAGTTAGGCAGGCAGTCTCCTTGATTGTACATATGTTTTAACTTGTGGATAGACAAGAACAGTCTTCATGCCACAGATGTCTAAAAACTTGCTGAGCTGTCATCTCGTGAAGCTATCAGTCAAGACCCTAGTCGTTTTGTTTCAGTCTCTTGTGGGTTTTTTTCCCCACCTCTCTGCATTTTATTGTAAAGGAACTCAGAAAAGTCTCAAGTGTTGTTTTTATTGTTATTATTTTCTACAGAGCCTTAATCTGTTTTACATCTGTGTTTGACTGCAGAAAGGCAAGACAGGGTGAAAATGGATCAATCCACAGTTAAGGCACTCGGAAAGCTATTTAGTACTATGCTGAAATAACACCTGTCCAATCCTGACAGATTTCAGTGCAAGGAGCTGCAAAAAACGTTAAACAATCCTTCATAATTTTTTTAAGCTAAGTACTAATATTCCCTCTTGGTGCATTTCTGAAACTATTCATATATGGGTTCACTGGAAATATTTAGGAGAAACAGCTGGACATTACAAGGAAGCTGTCTTTTATACTTAGCCTCCTTATACAACTGAGTTCATATTTATGGAATTTTTTATTGCTTCAGATTTCCTCCTGCTACCCCCAAATTTGCTGTATTTTCCTTTAACAGGAGATTTTATAAAAGTGGCCCAACATGGAGTGCAGATTTTTAAAACCCTAAGGGCCTGATCCTGAACTCCTAGCTCAGACACAGCTCTTGGGGAACTCCTGATGCTTGAGTCAGGTATCAGTTCAAGATCAGGTCCTGTGAAGGAGTTTGCTCACTTCTGGAGCGCCGCCCCACGGACGGAGTGTTGTGGCAGCTGTCATTTGGTTTGAAGCCCCCTGTTGATGTCTGCTCCATCACTGTAGTGGTCTCTCCTCCCATATCTCGATTCTACAACCAAGGTCTGCACAACCAACTCCTTGCTGCTGTTTCCCTGGGCTCCTTCCTACCCAAATTTCTCAGGCCTTCTTCCCAGCAATGTCTCTAGGGTGACCCTTCTTTCAGGTTAGGATCCCAGGGCTCATTCTCCTCCCCGGGCTGCCGCCTCACCACTTCCCTGTTCCCAAAGAG